GGCTCGGGTACGGATAAGGCGACCTTCCATACGAGTACATCTCCTCATGATAGTTGTCGGGGTATCCACGAGATGAGCTACCCGCATAAGAATAGCCGTACGGATCCATCGGAGCTCCTTAAGCGAAATACCTCGCACAAGAAAAACAAAACAACCCAAAGGCACACGAGGCAAAAGAAAAGAAAACACAAAAAGTGAAACTAAAAACACATAATATTTACACGGGCACGAAAGCAAAAACAAGAGAAATAGAAAATAAGCAAATAATCAAGAGAAACACGCAAAAACGAGCAAAGAGCACAAAACGGAAGAGAACACGGAAACAAACGACAACTAGGTAGTAAACTTGGCGTCCTACTCGCCTTCCCCGGCAACGGCGCCATTTTTGTTTAGTAAATTTTTGGGCATGTGGTAACCGAGCTACCCGACTCGGGTCGTTCTCAAAGGAAGGCTATTCGGAGCTTCGTTCACTACCTAGTCGTCAAAATCACACAACCGAAAAGGTCCTAAACATTCTACTCGCAAATTGAGGGGGTTTGAATTAAACACTACTCGCAATTGGAAATCGAAAGCAAATGAAAACTCAAAAACAAAGATGAGAGCTTTAGGTCAACCGGGGTCTCTATCACTCGAACCAACACACAAAGAACCGAGGGACATCAACATTGCCAAGTGATCCTAGGTCATTAAATCGAGCTTTCTACTAAATGACTACACTTTTAAACAAAGTCGCAATTTTTAAACAAGATAAGCACAAACTAATCCCTAACACACGTCGACGAGCTACAAGAATCGAACATTCCTCCGATCAACAAGCAAAACCACAATCACCTTGAAACACATCATAAGCAAAAGAGGGCAAATACGAAGTAATGAGGATTAAAGCTAATTACCCACTCTCCTAATGCATGCGTGAAGAACACCGGATGGAAAAGTTCGAAACTTGAAATAAAATGATGTCGCCGGAAACTTGCCGGAAAATATGAGTAATAGAGCTCCTAGCCCAAGCATAAAAAGGAAAAAGAGAAAATAGAGAGGATTTTCCCAACTTAAAAGTTGGGA